GTAGTAGTAGTAGTAGTAGTAGTAGTAGTAGTAGTAGTAGTAGTAGTAGTAGTAGTAGTAGTTCTTATTGGTTTGTTTTCCATCTAGCAGCTGTGTTCCGAGTCATGAGTCCTGTTAGGGAGACTCGACAGGACAGAAAATCTCCAGTAGGGATGGAATTCCTTCAGAAGCAGCTGGGACTGTCGGAAGCAGGCCTACCAGAGCTCTAACACACACACACACACACACACACACACACACACACACACACACACACACACACACACACACACACACACACACACACACACACACACACACACACACACACGCACGCACACACACACACACACACACACACACACACACACACACACACACACACGCACGCACACACGCACGCACGCACGCACGCACGCACGCAGACACACACACACACCTTCTGTTGCAGCACTGTTGCAGCACAGATCAGGTGAGAACCGCTCTGATCCAGAACTCCAGGCTTCCTGCTGCAGATTTTCTCTGCGATGTCGGGAAACCGTGTTCTTAACTTTTTTGTTTTATTTCAGTTTATTAAAAAAGAGAAAATAATAACAGATTCTTAATCCTGCCTCTGATCCTGTTTTTGTGTTTTTATGTTTCTGCTCTTATGCTCCTTCTGCAATTTTCTCTTCTTTTATTTGCTCAGATGTTTTGGACGTCTACTATTAATATTTGTTTGTTTGTTTGTTTGTCTTTGCAGTAGCTCAGACATCTCAGTCAGGTCCTGTTTGTGAAGGAGAACACGTTCTCAGACATTCTACCTGGTAGAATAAAGGTTCAAAAAGAAAAACTGCCAGGTTTAAAGAATAAAGACAACATTATTTTATTTTTATCAATCAAGAATCAAACCTAAAACATTTACCAGAGATACTATCAACTGCGTCTTTGACTTGTTTTAGTTTAATCTTAAATAAATGGACAGTTTTGAATTTTTACTCAGTTTCTCAAACATTTCATCTTTCATTTTTGTTCCAGTAACATCGCTGCGAACCGTTTAAAATTCTGCTTCTCGTCTGCAATATTTCTGTTACGATCGTTCAGATCCAAACGTAAAAACGAGTCCAGTTGACAAACGTAAGTGTCATGTTGCATGGTGGAGAAAAGAACTAATGGTTCACTCCTGAGTTCATCCACTACGGTTGCTAAATAGGTTATTTAGCAACATTTTAACATATCAAAGTTTTCATTTTAAGGTGAAAAAGTCAAAGTGTGTGTTTGCACACTTGGTCCAAAAGGAGCACAAAAAGCCTGAAACCCAGAACCAACCGAGCACATCCTCATCCACCACATCAGTGAACATAGCCCAAAAGCACAGTTCAGAAACAGTATTAAGATAAATAAAGTGTTTCATCACATTATTGTCATACTTTACGTTAATCACTATTGTGAGCCATGTTGATTAAAATAAATAAACGAGCAACAAATAAAATCTCTCTCAGCTTTTTTTTTCTTGGTTCAGGGAAAATTAATCAAAAATATTCAAATTTGTTTTAAAAAGAGCTAAATTCCTAAAACGGTTTGCATGAGTTGAGAGCCTCTGAGGTGGAGCGACATGGAGCGAATGCTGAGAGGTTCTGAAGTGATGCTCGGTAGATGTAAAGCAGCCTGGACCAGGTTATCTCCTGGCCTCCTCCTCCTTCCCTCTCCTCAGCAGCTTCAAAGCGCTGCTATCAAGGTGTCACACACTTCGCCATAAAAGGATTGTTCCGAGTGGAGCGGGAAGCTGAGGGAGAGAATTCCCTCCGGATCAGACTGGGTCCAAAGCAGAACAACACCCTTCAACAATCAGCGTCACGTTGACCTCTGAACTCAGAGCGCGATTGAAAAACCAGACCAGCGTATGAACGGAAGAATGGAGGCTGAAGTCATTAATCACACACACACACACACACACACGCCCACACACACACACACACACACGCACACACACACACACACACATACACACACACACTCCAGTGCTTCCAGACTGCGTGGGATTGACACTTTTACATATCCTGGACCGACGCAGAGCTGGAGTAGAGCTCTCGGCTCGGCGAGGAACCTGAAGTCTGAGCCTGGAACTGAAGCCGTGTAGATATGATGGTGATATGGAATTATGTTGGATTGTGGAATTTGTCTGCCTGGGAATGCTGAGCTCGGATCAGAAAGACCAGGACCCAAAAGGTCACAGGTCACGAGATAAGGGGTTCAGTTCTAGAGCATCAGCCGATCAGCGCTCCATCCTCTCTGGCTCTGATTTCACTTTGATTCTCCTCCCAGGGAACAAAACCTGGAGCCTGACATGGAATCAGCTGAAGGAATTCTTCCATCAGAGGATTTTATTGTTTGGTTTACAGAAGTAGGGCTGAACATTTTCATTTAAATGTCTGATTTGAGACAACAAATGTCTACAATTGTCTCTGATTTCTTAGATTACATGAAGAGTCCAGATGCAGATCTCTGTGTCGTTTCTGTTAAACCAACTCTTCACTGCCCTCTGATGGACAAATGGTGTCATAGCACCACAGGTACACAGTTTCTCTTGTTCATTTTAAACTGGAGACATTTAAAAATGTTTCTAACGAAATTAAATGTGATTCATTTATGATCCGAACTCAAGGACTGAATATGATTCATAATTCATGCCCACCTTTACCAGCTTTTCCTCCTGCCCTTACAACTGTTTTGTTCACCTGTGTCTCTGATTTTTGATGTTGGTGCATTTTAGTCATTTTATTTTCATAAAGCATGACCTGAATTTTACTAACTAAAGAAATAAACCGATATGTTTCTTAAAATACTTAATTAATTGAAACATTATTACTTTCCTCCATTATTCCCTAAATATGAACCCTTTATTCTAATGATAATTTTGTGCACTATCCTCACTGCCCCAAAATAAGTGCAAATGTAAGGAAATGTGTCTTTGATGTTTTTGTAGTTTAATAAGTAAAAAAGTGACAATTTAGTTAATATTTTGTTTTTATTATAATTCTGTTAATTATTTGCTCTTGTTGCAGACCAGCAGGGTCCTTTAGCTTACATCTGGGATTTGGTGTGCTGTAGCTTCTTAGGAAAAACAAATAAATACATAACTAAAGAAATAAATACAATAATAATAATAATAATAATAATAATAATAATAATAATAATAATAATAATAATAATTTATAAATAAAGAAATATTTCCACATAAATGGATTTAAAAAATCAGGTTTCTTTGTCACTTCCTGATTTAAACCAACGTAGATCCTGAACTTCATGTCGACATAGTTTGACTCAATCTGAGAGCTCATGAAGGTAACGAACCCGGCAACCGGGCCGCGGCTGTGCTCTCCTAGTCCTCTGAGCTATGGGGGGTTCAAAGTCAACACTTAAAAACTGCCTTCAAGCAAAGCGAAGGTTCCACATGAGCTGTGTGTGTGTGTGTGTGTGTGTGTGTGTGTGTGTGTGTGTGTGTGTGTGTGTGTGTGTGTGTGTGTGTGTGTGTGTGTGTGTGTGTGTGTGTGTGTGTGTGTGTGTGTGTGTGTTATCCTGTCATCTAACTGTATTTATCAGAGAACTTGAATCAAAAGTAAGAGAATCAAAACTATATGAAGACATATTAAATATAAACAACATTCAGAAGGCTCTGAAGTGAGCTCTGCATTTATCGGGTCAATGCGTGGCTCTTACGCATGCAGCTTAGACCGAAACTAGTCCTGTTGACGCGGGATAAACTCGGTAAAGTTCAGCTCGAATCCCCGCAGCTCTGATTACCGGCTTCACCGGCAGGCGGGCCGGTACCGGACGGCTCTGCGCAGGCAATTCAGTCCACCGTTTGGATGTTATCACACACGCGCGCGCACACACGCACACATACACATACATTTGTCGACAGATAGTTCGGAGGGTTTGGGCTTTTAAAGAGTTTCAGTGGTTTCAGCACCACGGAGAGCTCCGAATTACTGATTTCTGCTGCTTTTTATTAAATAACACACACACACACACACACACACACACACACACACACACACACACATATTTGCAAAGGTATACAAATGTTGGCCTCATCACTTAATCAAAACCTTTAAAATGCATGTGACGTCACATTTTGATATAAAAGACAAAACTGAACAGACGAACTTTAGTCTCACCTGAACTAGATACAACGTTTTTAACTGACATTTATTGGGTATTTATTATTCTTTTCTCCTGTTTTTAATATTAATATTATTATGTAGCAAAGTATAAATGAGCTAAAATCAAGAATCCAGATTTGGAAGAACGTGTTCATGTGACGTCATATTTGTGTAACTAGCGGGTATGACTTATGTTATTATTATTATTCTAAGATGCGATGTCTAAAACTAAGTTACACAAAAGTTTAGGGCTTTTCCTGTTAATTGTAAATATATTTACTCATGTACAGAGCCTTAAGAACCTAGAAACCGGTGTGTCCCTGGTCACGGACTCCTGTCTGTCCCTGGTTCTGGTCTTGCACCCCTTACTGTCCCTGATCTCCTGTCTGTTCTTGATCTCCTGCGTGTCCCTGGTCTCCTGTCAGTCCCTAGACTTTGGTCTGGTCTGTCCCCACTCAAGTGGGGTCCTGGATTATTAGAGCGCCCTCTTGAGACGAGCTTCCGTCAAAGAGCGCTTCTTAGGTCCATTTTATCTCTTTAAACAGTTAAATCAAACAAATAATAATGAGAATGTTTTAAATATTATGCTGATCAGTCTTAGCATTTATGCTGTGAGTTTTAATCGATCTGAATGATTTATTAGCGGACAAACTCCGTTTGGAGCGGAGAAGGACACTCCTGTTTTGGGATTCACCAACCATCATTTATGTCTAACAAAAGTTTGTGGGCGAACTTTCCGCTTATTTCTTTGGACAGGAGACAATCTGAGTGGACACCGGGTGTCCCTCCAGGTGTCTCTGAGGTGTGTGTCCTGAGCGCACCAAACAACCCTGAAGTGTGTGAGAAAGCAGCTGAAGAGCAGGGATGTGGACTCACCAGGAACAGCGCAGGTGTGAAGAGGACCACGGCGCACCAACGCGTCACCTGCATCCTCCCGGAGATCAAACTTCCTCTGATTCTCTCGGATGGTAGCTGCGGCTCCGTCGAGCATAAATCCACCGAGTCCGCCTCACAGAACGGTCCGGGCTCTCAGCTGACCGGGCAGAACAGAACCAACGCGCCCCATGGCCGCAAGACTGAAGCAGAGAGTTAGAGACCGGAGGTGGCAGGTGGAGAGCGGCTGGAGGCTGTGGGAGGGGGAGTTAGGGTGGAGCGGGGGGGCAGGAGTTACCTAAGAGTTAATCCAGGTGGGGACTCATAGCTGAGAGCAGGTTCGGGTCCCAGTGGTCTGGTGGCTGGAGCGCGCAGCATTCGAAGCACTTCCAATCTGATGGGAACAGCGGGGCTTTTAGCTTTATAGCGCGCGCCTGCAACACATAGGCTCCCCCGTTGGGGAGGGAGGGCGAAGGAGGGGGAGAGGAGACCTTGGAAGAACACAACACAACTCGGTCCACATTGAATTTAGCAGGATAGTTTTAGCGTTTTCATCCTAGTAATCCCCCCCCCCTCTCTCTCTATCTCTCTCTCTCTCACACACACACACACACACACACACACACACACACACACACACACACACACACACACACACACACACACACACACACACACACACAGTCCCTTCTATTCAAAAACACTGAAGTTATTATATCCGTTTCTGTAGAGGATCACGTGGTGTTCTGACCAGCATTAAAGGTGCAACATGTTAGAATCTTTACAGTGAAATAATCCCAAAATAGTCCCGGACATGATGGAGGAAGGTTACACTGAAACAGATTTAATTCTCCACCAGCTGGAGGGTTGTCAGGTTTTCTCCTTTTAAAAAACTAAAGAGGGACTTGTCTTTGTTTATAATCAGTGAAACCATGGAGTTGCCAAAACCAGTGGCAGCTGGCCACTTTGTTATTTTTTATTTATTTATTTTTTGGTGGGGTGCATTTTCTACCATTCTTATGCATCACACATCAGCACATGTCAGCTGAACAAAGTGCTTGAACACTGAAAGAAGGCAAATGTAAAAGAGACAAAAGAGCAATAATCCGATGTTAAAATGAGCCCTCACAATCAAAGAACAATCTGATAAAACATAAAGTCAAGAATGCAACCCAAATTGCAAAAGCATAACCATTTGGTTGCAATAATAAGATAAAAATAACAGGATAAGAGTAAAAAAAGGTGATAAAAACAGTAGAAAAATATATACTAATCGAGGACAAAGTATGCTAGTTAAAATGTTATCGTCCTAAAGCCATTCTGAAGGGGTGTGACTTAAGGTTGGATTTTAAATGTGCAAGTGATGGAACCAGACTAACTGAGAGTGAAAGTTTATTCCAAAGCTTAGGAGTAGCAAAAGCAAAAGCTCGCTCTCCAAGGGATTTGTATTTCATTTTGGGAATGCACATAAGGTGTTGATCTGTGGAACGCAGTGAACGAGCGGGAGCTTACTGAGTGAGTAGTTCAGACAGGTAGAGGGGAGCGTTATTATTGACAGCTTAATATGCAAACATTGTATGTGATATGCTACAGGGAGCCAATGTAAGTCATCCTGAACAGGAGTGATGTGCCACCATCTGTTCGTTCCAGTGAGAAATCTGGCCGCCGCATGTTGTACCCTCTGGAGATGAATGAGCAAAGAAATATAATTTTACTTACTGATAAAAAATAAGCAGAAACTGCTTGGATGATCTGTTTGTGCAGTCAATAACCACAGTCTGTCCTCTTTGTCCAAATAACTCCATGATTAACATCCAAACACAAACAGAAAAACTAAAGTTCTGAGTCAAAATAGCCGAACATCCGTTGACGTGAGGCCCAGGCTGAGGACTTTCCCTGGAGCTAGCTCCCAGCGCTGGCTCTGATGCTCATAAATTATTCAAATTTTTATTATTAAATTACATTTAAACAGAAGAGTTACACCCCCCCCCCCCCCCCCCCTCAAAGTTGTCATGAGTGTAAACTAGATCTGTTAAATCTAAAATGTTTTTTGAACCAGCTGTGAAATTAGCATTTTTAACATGGGAGTCAATGAGGATTTGCTCACTTCTACTGCCAGCCCCTAGCAGATGAAGGTGGAACTGTAATTTTGTCGTGCCTTGTTGGCTTCATAAAATTCAGACCCAAATGACCCCTTGGTGCTGATCCGTAGCTGGCAACAGCAATGAAATCCACGGAACAGAAGTGTGAACATCACCTGTGTGTTTGGAAGATGGGTTGCAGTTCCCAAATATGACCACAAGATGTCATTCCTACTTCATTCTTACATAATGCACCTTTAATTATGTGGTGTTTTGACCGGCTTTATCTACATATGACTCTACATACTGATGATCAAACACATTAAAAACCATCCTGCTCCATTCTTCCTGCTAGTCTGAGTTATTTTTTACGTTTTCTCCTAATGATATACTTTGTGACTTTTTCAGATTTTTAAATGATTTTCTTGAGGTAGTATGTGCTAAAATGACCTTTATAGGGTTAATGAAAGACCACCCTGCACCTATAGCGCCCCCTGCAGCCAGAATATTCCAGTTGCAGCTTCACATTTGCCAGTTTGGTCTGTTAGTTTTTGAAAAAATTGCATACCTGGTGCTGCAGTCTGGCTCCTGCACGTTTCCTGCATGTTTTAAAGCATGAATACAGCAGATTTGGATAATTTAGTGAAGAGCCACCACTCTAAACACTAAAGCCTCTCTTCTATCGCCAGGTCTGGAGCGGTCCAGTCTGGTTATTTTTAGAACGGTATGTTCTGGTATGGGGCTGGAATTTTCAGACGAGCGTTTCGATCGCAGTTTGGGCCCTCACGTCGGCAGGCGGGGTTAAACAAACCATCATGTGTGATTTTAAACGTTGTGAAACTATTTGGTATGTCTGTGCTGCAGTAACTGGTCTACAGAGCTAAAGACAAAAACAAAAGGCCTTCCACAGGCGCCTTATGTGACTCCAGAGTGCAGTCGCTAAGTCCAGAAGCCTGTCTCGGCTATAAATAGCATCCAGCACATCGTAGAAACTCCGTGTATTTCTCCCATCTGAAAAAAAATATCCACTCCGGCTGTTTGTGTCCTTAACTATTAGCTAGGGCTGCATGGTGGTGCAGTTGTTAGCACTGTTGCCTCGCAGCACGAAGGCTGTAGGTTCGAAACTCGGCTGCGGCCTTTCTGCGTGGAGTTGCGTGTTCTCCCCATGCATGCGTGGGTTTCCTCCGGGTACTCCGGTTTCCCCCACAGATCACAACATGCCCTATAGGTTATAAATTGTAAGTTGCTTTGGATAAAAGTGTCTGCCAAATAAATAAACATGAACATAAACAAAGATATATTGGGCTTTGATTTCTTCATCTTGGCCCGACACTGAGCCGACGTCCGCTCTCATCCTTCGGCTGCCATCTGCTGAGAAAAAAACTACCGATCCAGCTCCTCCTGTGGACTCTCGTGATGAAGGCGAGGAACGTATGGAACTCTGAAGGTGAACACTTGCTGCTACTTGCTGCAATTTTTTTCACTTTTATGTACAGCTAATGAAAATACAAACAACGGAACTCCGTTAGTTCTCCTGTTTGCAAGATGTGACGCATTTCTGTCAACCAGTCAGTGGACTGTGTTGTTGCTCTGCCCTAACCGTACCGCTCCAGGAATTTCGGGACCTACAACAGAAGGGAGTCCCAACAATCCCACGACTGGCGCGGTCCGGGTCGGTTGTCTGGACAGGTTTTACAATCGGAACAGAAAAATTAGCAACCCGATACTTTCCATTCCATGCCAGTTTGGGCGGTGGGAAGGCTGGGAGACGTTTCTGCGGTTAGATTAAGGTGTTAAAAAGACGAACGCACAGCGACGAGATAGTTTTTGGTTTTGGTTCTACAAATGGACACTAGGGGGTCCTAAAGGCAAGCCCAAACTGCCTTGTCTCTATTAAGATGAACTGCTGTCCGTATTTGTTTTTTCATGAAATTATAAAAAAAACTTGAATTTCAACTGAATCATTCAGGATTGACTGAGATCATCATCGAAATCATAAACCAACATAAACACGAACTATGATGAACATCTGCATGATGTTCAACACATTCATACAATCCTGAGCAGAAAAAAACTTCTCTCATTCCTCCTGAGAGCGGCTCAGAACCATGAGGCTCTAGACCAGTCCAGACCAGAAGGCCTGGGGTGGGATCTGACCCAGTATGTCAGCAGGGGTGGTTGAAGACCCGTCTCCTACACACTCACTTTCTGCCATGAGTGGTCAATGCACTTTATGAATACTATGTATGTAAATATGCCAGCTGATTGATGGCACTTCACAGGTTACCATGGCAACTGAGACTGCAATAAAGGTGCTTGTGAGTGACTTAGATCATGTTTGCCACAGCTCCTCTAGACTCTTACATGCCAGTCACATGAACTCAGGGTGAACCTGCTCTCGTCTGTCAGAAGCACAGGTGGTGTTCTCCAGACGTTATGTGGTAAATACCAGTGGAGCTCCATGGAGCCGGGCCACAAGCACAGGGTCCGCTAGAGGACAGCTGGCTCTGGGGACACCTTCATGTTTGTGATGGTTTGGTCAGAGATGTTCTCACCAGTGGCCCAGGTTACTTTGTAGGGTGGTGGCAGGACTCGTCCTGGTCCTACTTACAAAAAGGGGCAGATAGTGGTCCTACTGATGGCCTCTCCTCTCTGTTCTAGAGATTGCGCTGGCTGACACAGAAAAACAGGTCAATCCTGGGCCAGTGTCACCCTGACAGCAGGCTTGGACCTCCCTGTGACTACCCCGCTGTGGGTGGAACTCAGGGTTAAAAAAATTCCCATCTCACCCTCCACACGTGGTCTTATCCTTCCAAGCTCAGGTCCGCTACCAGAAGCCTGGGAGCTCGAGGGTTCTGCAGTATCTTAGCTGTTCCTATAACTGCACTTTTCTGGACTGAGATGTCTGATGTTTTTCCTGGATCTGCTTTAGCCACTCCTCCAGTTTGGGGGTGACTGCCCCGAGTGCCCCGATGACCACGGGCACCACTGATGTCTTCACTCTCCAGGCTTTCGTAAGTTCTTCTTTGAGGCTCTGGTACTTCTCTGGTTTCTCGTGTTCCTTTTTCCTGATGTTGCATCACTTGGTATCGCCACGTCAACCCCAACGGCTGTCCTGTGTTGTCTGTCCACCTCCACAATGTCCGGTGGGTTCTCCATCACCATTTCATCAGTCTGGATCTAGAAGTCCCACGGGAGCTTGGCTCTTTTGTTCTCTACCACCTTAGGGGGTGTCACCCACCTTGGGGCTTCCAGTCCATACTCTGCACAGATGTTCCTGTATGTCAGCCACTTGGTGGCGTTCCATGTATGCGTTCCCTGTCAGCATCTTACACCCTGCAGTTATGTGGCGGACTGTCTCAGGGATGTTTTTGCATACCTTATGAATCCATCCAGTCTTCCATACATCTGAATCTGATGT